GGGGGGTAGTGAATCTCCGGCCATTTCCAGTGCTGTGTGTATGTACAGTTTCGCCAAAGTAAGGAGGGTGAGGATTGCGATTAAATGGATTCAGCCGGTTTGCTCGATCATGACGTTCCCTGTGTCTGATCTTGGCTGTGCACCAGGATGTCTGTGCCCTGGGATATATCACCATGAGCCTGTGCTGCTCGACTAAACCTGTGCACTGCGGGCTGAAAGCACATAAGCTACATCTGTTTAAGTGCTTCTGTCCCAACCCAGTGGGGATACAATAAGCCCCTTTTCTTTGTTTGTAGGGTTTCTATTGGGCTTGCTGTAAAACAGGGGGATGTGAGCCATTGCTACTATGGGGTAACTCTTCTTGTAGCTCTGTTGTGTGGTCTCTGTATGTCGTTCACCCTGTCAGATTGCCCGTGATCTTCTGTGGGGTCTTGTCTGATCCTCAGGTGAAGGCATTTTTGTTTCCGTATTTGCCGTTCTCACTCGGTACTTTTCCTGCGGTACTTCAATATCTGCTTGTCCATTCTAACACATTCACTCAGTTCTTCCAATAATGCTTTTATATCTCGGGAGCCTGTTCAGTGCGCTTCAGACGGCCCCTGTACAGATTCAAATTGATCCATTTGCCCCCCAAAGCAACGAGCTATATCTTGTTCTACAGACCTCTGCAGATTTGTATTTTAGCGATGATGCGATCAAAAATGAAAAATTCCTGCTGGGATTGTGCTCCAAACTGCAACAGATCAAGAGTGCAGATACCAGAAAATAACTGAAGTAGACTGAAATAAATGCATTTAAGCATTGACTCCACAGCACTGATCCGAAGGGCTTTGTATGGAACCAATCATGTCATATGTTTATGTACATACACACACACACACACACACACACACACACACATACACACACAACTACTGTACATTTAAGTTTCCTTAACTGGCATGATTTCCAATATTATTGCCATGGTGAATCTATATGGAATCTATTAGGGATTTTGCTTTACCTGTATACATTTAATTACAAACTTAATTCTATTACAGGTAATTCACATTTTTGGCCGCAGACTAAAATAAATAGCTATAAATACTGTAACGCTGAACAGTTGTATATGGAGGATTGTTGTGTTATAACTTCGTAACCGTTAGTGAGAAGATTATGCACCGTTAACAATGGTTCCCCCTCAAAACTCTGCACAGCGATTCTAGTACTGAACAAAATTGTATAATTTGCTACCTACTGGAACATTGCATCTGTTTCAGCTACAGTGCGGCGTAGTGCCGTCCCACACTTCATCATGTATATGAAATTACAGTATTATACTCTGGTTGGAGGCATCTAAACCTCCACTTTTTCTATTTAAGGTCTATTTAAAGACTTGTCAGGTAGCTTATTGTGTGTTGAGCTAATCTGGTAAGTGGCATGTAAAATAATCACCTGACCCCTACGGATAGATCAGCTATCTGGTTACATCCAAGGAGGCTTAACCTTTTGGTTTGGCCTGAATTAATGTATCACTATAGGCCAACTTTTTGGTCAAAGGCCCCCCCATCAGATTTTTCTTCGAAGTCAGAGATCCGGAACGATTTTCAGTAGCGAAACAGCATTTCACGAACCTTAATGAATTAAGCATAACCTTCAATGTAGACATCAATTGCTTGCAGACTGTTTAGACTGTCTTTGTCAGGGGGGGGGGGTTATGGTGAGTTATGTGTGTGTGAAAGTTCTACATTTTGTATTTTGTACTTCAAACCGCATTAAGACTTCTGGCGTTAACCATATTGGCATATGGTACATTATGGGCTGGGTCCGGATCAATTTGCAATTCGGTCCAGATCCAGACCTCATTCCGGACTTCGATGACCCCTGCTACAGTATAGGCAGTAATAATAATTGTGGCCAGTGGAAGAGTTTGCGTCTGTTTGGACCAAGCCGAACAACCTCCAACTTAATATTTAAGGCGTGCATGTGAACAGACTGGCCAATGGTCACTTAGCTGACCGGCCAATGGAGGCGAAGTGAACAAAATGCCCTTCCCCCCCCCCACCCAACATTTCATGGGCATGGGTGGTCTGTCAGGCCTGAAATTTATACCAAAAGTTTTCATCACACCAGCAGCACTTTGCCAGGTTAATTTCAGAACATAATGGTGAAACGAAAAGGTCGGAACACCCATTTATTTGTGCCTGATTGTGTGAATCTAGGATTTGACTTGGCAACCCGGCAGGGCTGCCATGCTCAATCTGAAGAAGTACTGGATGCCAGATTTGCCGTGAGTGGGTGGGTCCTGACTATGTACACAATATGTACCAAGATAGGGGCCACACTTGCCTGTGTTCACAACACAGGCAGCAGTCCCAGTGCAAGCACAGCCTTTAGGTCAGGGATGGGCAGCCTTATCCTTAAAGGGCCAGTGTCTATGCAGGTTTTTGGGATAACCTTTAGGTCAGCTGTTCAAACCCAGGTGTGCGGACTCTTCAGCCAATCAGTCCTCTAATTAGTGACCTAATTGGGGAGTTGCAGCAAAAACCTGCGTACACACCGGCTTTTTCTGGGTAAGATTGCCCACCCCTGCTCTAGGGGCTTTGCTAGTCCCAGTATGCTTTCATCTGTGTGCTAATATGGGCCCCTTTTGCTGTTTTGGTTCATCTCCCCAGTCCCGCCCCAATTCTGTCACTTGGTGAAGGGGCGGAGTTTCACATACTGTGCGGAAAAAAGAGGTTCACAGAAGAGGTATCCCTGCTCTGTGCAAAATATGCCTACTGTGGTTTTGAGGGCTTCAGTTTCACGTGTTGTATGGTCAGTTCCCCAGAAGGGGGTGCTAATTAGCCTCCGTTAGACTCTGGTCCCCAAAATTGAAATATTCATCCTGGCAAACGAAGCGAACAGGAGTTTTTAGCTGACTAAGTGTGTCTAAAGTGAGGTTTTTTCGGTTTAGGTTGGCTGCGAACTCCTGTATGACAGTTACTGCAGTGGTTAACCTGCACTCGTTCAGTTTCGTTTGCTGGTGCAGCTGTGGCCTACTAGCTGATTTACATAACCACAGCCTGTTTGGGTATATCTCGCCGGGCTGGGTCAATACAAACTTCATGCCTTTGCTGCATATTCTGCTGGTCTCTAACTTTATGCCACAAACACATCAAGTGTGATTTTCTGTCGAAGAGCCTGTTATATTTTGGGAAACTGTAAGAATGAGGTCTCCCAAAAAATAAATATGACCTCCATATCTGCAACCTTGCAATAATATTTGCATTCTTCTTTTATTGTATTTTGAAGGTGTGTTACATATTGTGTTTACTTGGGTTTGTGGATTGTGTTTCCACAAATATAAGAATTCAGTTTTAAACTCATTCAGTTTACAGTTCTGACATCCATGCTTCTCCTTTTCTACAGATAACTAGGATTTCTCCAGTAATGGATGACTTGGTGGGCCCGGAATGTTCCTCAGGACTAATCGCTCCCCAGTGGTTTCACCTACTGGTCAGAGGTAACAGTTATTCTGGCATATACTGGGTTGATCTGTTTCCCAAGTACTGAATCCAGATGATGGTGTAGTTTGTACAAACATCAGCTGTTTCTCCGTCTTCAGATGGTAGACGTAGATATTGGTCGCCTCTGTGAGACCAAGATTTTAGTGACTTAATCACGAGTAACATTCACAGCTCCAGGCATTTAGAGACGCCTGACCAGGGTCAGTTTGGACCAAGAAATTTGTTTGCCCACTCATCAGGCATAATCATAGGCAGATTTAAAAGCATTTGTTGATGTTTGTATACACATTTGGGGGAAAATGTAATTCAATTCCCAGCATTTAAGAGGTTTTGTGAGCATGCTACACGTGGAGGAAAGATGCTCGTTTGCCCAGAAATTGTTTTTATCTTCTAAATCTAAGAAATCTCTGTGTACATTTTGGAGGCTTTCAAATCTTACCTCATTCTGTGTAATTATTTATATATTCTCTCCATGTCATGCATTTCACTATTTAGTGTCTGAATTCAAGGCCCTCAAGTTTCACCAAAAGTTTGGGGTGACATTACACTAGGGGCAAAACATGTGTCTCGCGGTCAATGCATGACCCTTTAATCGGATTGTGGTCTTTACTCTTCCGCCTTGTCTGCATTCCCATCTGTGTGTGCATCCATGTAATAACATGCTTGTGGCTGGATCACATGCAACTGTGCGTGCGCATACATGCGTGCACACCCTGAAATGGACCGGCATTCCATGCGTTGTGTGTTCCTGCACAGCACCCTTTGCTGCCAGCGATTGGTCCCAGGTTGTCCAGGTTTCAGTTCTAATGATTTACACAAGTAATCAAACGCCGGCGACTAGTGGTCTTTTTTTTTAACCTGCATTATTGACCATTTCTCTTCAGTTTTGAAGTCGTCCCGGGGGGGGGGGGGGGGGGGGGGGTGGTGTAATGCTAAATTGTACCAGATGAGGGAGACATTTCCGAACATTGCGACGCCGCATGGACATAAACCCTCCAAGATAGAATTTGTAGCTGTAAATCTGCAGAAATGTTTCCTTTCTTGCCGTCCTGCTCTATAATAGGCGTCTATTAGCTAATATCGAGACGGCACGTTTTTAATGTAGTATTTTAGTGAACTCGTGAATTCGTGAGTGATCCATGCCTAGGCATGTGCGAGAATTGGGAAATTCCCAAGTTGGTATATGTAATTACAAGTTATCTGCTATTATTAGTGTATTACATCGCACGGCTCATAATTTAGGATGTTTGGAAATAATTTGTCAGGCCGTAAGAAAAGGATACATTGGAATAATTCCGAGAAAGTTAATTAAGACAGAGTGAGACCCGCGTCTCCACCACCAGGATGAGAGTTGCAGGTATGAATAAATGGGGTGACTGTCTGGGGTGCATGTTTATGATGAGCGTGGCGCGCATCCTCACGAGCTCTTTCGGACGGGTGGAGGGGGCGTCTTTCGCCGCGCGTGTGACAGTGCGGGGAGCGCCCCCCTCCCCCCCTCAGACGCGAGCGCGCACGCGCTTGGGGCCGTGCGGGAATGGCTGCCGGCTGGTCTGGGGGTTGGGCCGCTCCTAGCGAACGGAGAGTTAAAGAGTTTTTAATGTCCGCCATGTTGGCCATGGCGTATTGAACCAGGGAGAGAGGGGAACGACTGTAAAAAAAAAAAAAAAAAAAAAAGAGAGACCGAAAGAGAGCGACCAAGATCCGGGCCTTTCGGGCTCCTCTCGCATCGCCGTTTGCGTGTGTGTATATTTACCAGTCGAACAAGTGACTGTCGGAGATCGCCACAGACCCATCCATGAGAACTCTAACTGGGACAGTTGTGAATTATAGGGGATCGGATAGATTTATTCTGTATCTCGAATTATAAAAAAAATGAGTAAATTGTCGTTTCGGGCACGGGCGCTGGACGCTTCCAAGCCTCTACCCGTCTTCCGCTGCGAGGACTTACCCGACCTGCACGAATATGCCTCAATTAACCGGGCAGTGCCGCAGATGCCGACTGGGATGGAGAAAGAGGAGGAATCGGTACGTTACACGGTTACAAAAAAACCTACAGTTTGCAGTATAGCCCGGTTTTCGCATTATCGGGGGCGCCCCTCTCTTGTCTGCGCAAGTTTGCACAAAATGGCTGCCGTTTCTCCTTCTCGCAGAAAGGCGCTATTTCGCCGTCCAGACGCCGACCCGGGTCGGTTTAGCGACCATTTTCCGAGAGAATGAGGCGTACTGGTTCCGAAATGTGTGCTTGGTGCCGGTTGTCGCGGTCCATTTCGCTTGGAAACGGTTTACAAAGTACAAAGGGATCACGTGACCACGCCGAAATCCGCCATTTTGTTCGAGACTCGGTTTCCCCCCCTTTGGGTGGGCCGTGCGGCGACGCCGGCGGCGGACGCTCGGTGGCGCCAGAGAGCCGGCGTGGAGTCCGCGCGGCTGGGGCCGGCCGTCAGCCGAGTGACAGCTAGCGTGCGCGGCCGCGAGCCCATCCGGCGGCTGCTTGCAGAGCGACTAACCGCCTTGTCGGGCAACTGCTACCCAGTAAAACGATAAGCAGGCCTTGGATAACCGAGAGGTGCGGAGATACTGGGAAATACCGGGGTCTATGCTGGCTTCGGTGCTCCCGTATTAACGCGTTTGGTTACCTGAGGGTTTTGTAAGAAGTTAGATGAGGCGCTCGTGCGTTTCTCATTTGTGGGCAAATCTCTCTGGCCAGTTGCTGATTTCATTGTCAGTATTTTAGTAATTTTCTTTTTGTCGTCACTGCATGGCGATGAGAGGTATGGTTACACCCCCTTCCCTTTTTATGGTGGCGGTCCCGAAGCGGTTGGCTGGTCGCTACTCCCCCGTAAACTTAAGCGCTGCCGGCCCGTCCGCTCGCTGTCTGCATGTCCCCGTATCGGCGGGTGAGCCGGCGGCCGGGCCTTTGGAGCCCTCTTACTGCCGTTTGCTGTAACCTATCTGGCGTTCCCAAACGGCGATGCAAACTTCTCTTAGGCATCAAAGACGTCCTCGGCCATTGAGCACCGCCAGATGTTATTGATGCGATACCAGTCTCACTTTTACGCTAATGAGTGGTACTTTTGTATGTGTTTCAAAACATCCGGTACCACTAGAGATTGCCCAGAATAATTTAAATTATTGCTTATGCTTTATAAATGTGACTGCATGTTAATGAGCTTGTCCATTGTAAATTATCGAAATCTAATGGAAGTTTTCTCATCGTGCCTGTGTGTGCAGTGTGTTTCTGCCAAGCTGTAGGGTCCGGTATTTTCCAACTGCCAACCGTAAAACATGCACATTGGACTTTATCAGTTTCCTATTAAGTGTGCAAAGTTATTTGAAGGACCACACTGTGAGTTCACCACCTTCAGTCCATTCAGAAGTGGCATTAGTCTTCCTGTCCTTGTTAGTTTTGTGCTGCGGGAAAACCCTGTAAAGACTTTTGCAGGAAAGTGCAGTGTTACTTCATTGATTGGACTAGAAATCAGTTGAATATGGAGTGTGGTGTGGGATATAGAAATGTGTGGCTTTCTAGAGGGAGTCTTTAAACATGCTTGTGACTGTGTAGTCTGCAGATTTCAGGGTGTGACATAAACATGCTATCATCTGTCTGCTGGGACTGGCTGTTCAGTTTTGGTGATACTCATTTGAAAAGGGCAGCTTAATGATGGGTAAAAAAAAACAGGGTAATCAAAAGCCATATGTTGTCAAACAGGAGCTGATAATACAGGCACATATATTACAAAAGGATTTAAAATTAGAGTTTGGACCAGGGTAAGCCACAGTTTTAATTAAGAAGCACAAATAGTGTGTTTAGTCTCTGTATTTGTGCTTGTGTAATTGGTTGGTGTAGTGTTGAATTTAGGAAGCTAAATGGGGGGATTTGTTCATGTGTAAGTTCTAGGCACACTTTGTTCTCATTTGTGCTACAGCAGTGTGGTTTATCGTGATGCTCATTGGTGCATCTAATGTCTTTTAAATTTGTGTTGCTGTGGAACCTTTTAATGATCTTTTGCTTAACTGCTATGTCCACCACTGTAACTGGCAAATGGGGTACATGTGTAAGCCCTGAGTATGTAGGGTTTGGATGCCTTGTGAGAGGGGGTCCCCGATCAGCTTTCTGTTTCATACCCACATGACTGTTATGGAAGTGGATGGGGTCCACAGTCCAATGCATCTTGGTACACTGCTTCCTTATCCGGGTGCATGAGATGTCAATCTGGTGGACCAGGTAGCTGTCAGCAGGACTTAAAGATCAGCAGTGATGGTGGGGTCTGAGTTGCCTTCTGAGGGCACCTGCCCCCACTGTGGGCCTTTTCTCTTTCCTGCACATAGAAGTTTGGCAGGTATGGGTGTCTTTAGACTGAATTGCCAGGTTTTTGTGCGTGGACCTACCTGATAATATCTACTAACACTTCTCCCATAATCAGGGTAGGGATGGCTAAATAATTATCCTACCTTTTGCTTTGGTAGAAATGTTTCATAAGGACCAATAACATGCCATATTTCTTGGAAACCTGCGGTGTAGTGAAGTGATACTGAGAAATGAGTTTTGTTGTGTTTGTGAGAGATGTATAGTGTCTATGATGCTGCTGTGGAGCTTGGTGTCCTGTCACATCACAGGTTTAGCCTGTGAATCACAGAGAGGATAATTATTTATGAGTGTGTGTGGTCTATGTCGTGCCAACGCGGTGACTCTCCTCACGTTTAAGGACCGTGCACTATGAATAGATTCGTCGAGTGTTTTTTACGGCCCCGGTTTTGCGCAGAACTTAATAGTGCCAAGTGCTTTCTTTGGCTGTTTAATATCTCTGAGCGTGGACTAATTAATTCAAACAGCACGCCACTACTTGCAGCTCTAGGGTGTTCGCTTAAATATTAGCGGTTTTATATTTGGTTAAAGAAGAGGCTGCCATTGTCCCAGATGCATGTACCTTGATTCCCTCTCCTGCGATCTTTGAATCGCGGCAGATCGGCATATTATAGTTTTTTTTTTTTTTTTTTGGATATGTGTGTCCAGTGCTATGTGTTTTGAAGTTCTCGTGGCAAGTAAGTGAACTTGATTTTGCCAGATGCATCGGTTCAGCTTAATTTTGAAACGGGAGGTAAGCCATTTATTTGACAGATTGTTGCGGCGATACTGGGGGCGTGGAAGAAAATGTTTTCGGGCTGAAGGACACTTGAAATTGGTTGTGTACGTCCCACTCTCTAAGTGTTGTCAGCGAATGCTTTGAAAGAGGTATTTTTCATGTTTTTAGCTGGACTTCTTAAAGGGCCGGTCCATTAGCCTCCCGCAAAGAAACATTTTTCTTTATCAGTTTCCCAGTTTTCAATACAACATGGGCGATACGTTCTCATGCCTTGGACTCTGCATTGCTCATGTTAACTTGTGCGGCACAAAGCCCTCATCCATGCCTCTGTCTGCCGAATGTTAACGCACGTGATTGGTGTTTTCACAGATGGAGTAGAGGTGTGCGTGACATGGGGTGCTTGGTCTTTCCCACTTTTTTTGAGAAAAATATGATATTACTTTATTACCCACAATGCCATGTAACTTGTTCTATTTTTAGCCCTGGAGCATGGGATATGTTGGGGGCAGAGCTCAGCTTCTGTTTGTTGACCTGCCAGTGGGGGAGGTTGGGTCAGGCCCAGCTCCCACACATGTTGACATTGTGCTGACTCACCTGCATCCATGCTTAAATTAGCGAGAATAGTCTGGTACCCCTGGGCCCGCTGCACCTGAATGCAGAGACTCTCAGCAGGGGCTGCATCTCCTCTAATGGGGGCAGACTTGATAACAGCCCTTAAGATGAGTTGTTTACTCAGGTTTTTCACCGACATTTGCAAAGTAATCTGTATTCTTTGCGCTCATTCTGCCTGATTTGCAGTCTCCACCTTTAATACCTCGCCTTTATTTTGTATGGTGTAGTAGAATGTTTTGCTTCTCTTGCGGCTGGGATCAGTTTTAATACCTGTACTTGTAACTGGGTTAATAAAATTGTTTGTTTCGAATTAGTGGAGCCATTTACGTTGTAATTATGCCAGTTGCCATCTGTTTCCACATCATTTATTAAATTGCACTAGTCCCTTAAAACTGGTGTGTCTGTTCATCAGTAAGCGGTACTGGGCTTCACTTTCTCCAAGTCCTATTTGTTATTGTGAGGCTACGTCTGTGATGTTAACTGTTGAGGTGAGCCCCATTTTAAAGGAGACTCCACCATAACATTAATAACAAAAGTCGTTCCTCACCAGACAATTGAAAGTTGTTTTTCTGAAAGGTTCAGCCCCTGAAGTCCTTGGGCATCTATTTAAAATCCTCTCACGTGCTCGTGATTGTATTCCCTGTGACTTAAAATATCTTTGATCCTTGAAACAGAAAATGAGGCTAATTTTATCACGTGCGTATATGTTTTAAGTGCTGTTCTCTTTAAATAAAACTATCCTTGTCTAGTAGAGTTTCTGTAGGAGTAAATTCCTTTAGGTGGCACAGGGTTGTTTTGATGCCTGTCTCTTAATTATCCCGAAAGGTTTATGACGCTTTTGCTTGTTCAGAACATTCTCAGATGTGAGAAAGTTGACTCTCTTCGCCGCCCTTGGTTTTGTTGTGGAATCGGCTGCTGGTTCTGTCATGGGTGACGTATTTGGTGTTGATTTGTTTCCTGCTGGTCATGTGCATCTGTGTGCCGTTGTGCAGACAGCCTATGAGATCCCTCCTCCTTAAGCTGCTTCAGCGGCTTTGCTTGTAACACAAGGTGCTTAGACTTGCCTATGCCCAGGGGGGGTTGGGCAGACAGTTGACCTTGGACCCCCATAGGTTTTCTTTTTTCCCCCCTACTTGGGAGTTTTTGGTTCCTCTCCTCCATTGTCACTGGCTTTCTCTTTCATTTCTTTGTCTTCCCTTTCCCCTGCTTTTGTATTATTTGGTCTTAATGATGTTGCATCGTAACACACCCATGTAAAGCACCTTGGGGGGTGATACTGTTGTGAAAGGCACTATATAAAATTGAACTGAAGGTGGCAGGTGTATCCCA